AAGCACAGAATAAAACAGATATGATCAATGGAAACAACGAGAATATATTGACTTTGATTATCAACCAGAATGCTCTTTTATGCTTAAACTGTGTTTTCTCATTAATTCTGACGACAAAAAATCATAAGATGACTAAGGTACCTACAATAATATACCGACAAACCATCATTTGGCCTCTCTGATGAGGCTGCAATAGTGAAACCACCTTCACCCACAAAAAATAAATAAATAAAAAATAATAACAACTATGTTTAGCTTCATATTTCCGAAATTAAATTATTTTGTTTGATGGTCAATGTTAATAAAGACAAACTAACTTTCCTAAGGTTGCGAGGAAAATTCATCATTACTTTGCTAGCTGTCAAAATTGTACTGTATGCGCATTAATTGTACACTTGTATAAACAGCAGTATAGATTTTTTTATGGCATCCGACCACGATGGGTTAAAAACTTCCTTGATTTTATATGAGGTAATGAGAGAATGAGATAAAGTTTTTCTCTTCTTTCGCGCGTATTTTGTTTTAAACTGCAGCCATTTGAGTGTCTTGATCTGGTTTCTGACTCTGTACAAATCGTGAAAAAAAAACGCACGATGGTGTTGGTGGCCTCAAAATCGATGCAAGGACATCGACTGGACTCTCGACCTTTCTACTCGTTGCATTTGAGAATTTATTTATCATCCCAGGTTTGGTAAGGAACTCAATGTCCTAATGATAGACGAGGAACCTTTCAAAATTTCGGTCACGTCATTTGCAAGCCTATATTTAAAGGCTATATGTAAAGTCTTGGTAGTTTCTTGATGCCGGAATATGCTTGATGGAAATAATAGCAGTATAGTTGTAAAATATATTTACAAATATATAATCAGCATGCATGTACAATTTGAATTATACTAGCTGTTTCTAACAATCAGTTCTTTATTTTTTTCATTCACATTTTACGAAGTGTTTAATGTTCTTAATTTCTATGAGCGTAACGACAAAGAAGGTGATTTTATTCTTATTTGCGATATTGTACAGCCCAATAAAGTAAAACTGGTGAGAAAAAAATCATATTTATTGTTTTTCCAAACGGAGTTTTTAAACACTATCAAACATATTTGTTTCGGGAGGACAGTCTTCTTCCGCCTCTTCGCCGACGTCTATAGTCAACGGCGTTGTCATTTCGTTGTTCATCCTTTTCACCATTTCCCTGTAATCTCTAGCGCATTCGTATTGGCAGGCTCGCTGTTTTTCTTTCGGTACGCAATATGGAATAGTGCAGTTGAGCCTCCGCATCGTTGGCGGGCATTGACAAGGCTCTGGAGGATAAACGATGTGCACGGGAACGGGCACTTCTTCCAAAATCATCGGAGGCGGCTCCGGAGGCGGCTGCATGACCATGACCTGAGGAGCTTCTTGATTGAAAACTATTTCGGCTGGGTAGTCGTCGTCGCAGGACACAGCGCCGACACGCCCTCCGCTTTTGCCGCCGCCACCTCCGCCTTTGCCGCCACCTCCGCCTTTGCCGCCACCCCCGTCGCCTGCATTCACTTTCACAGACGTAACATGATCGTGGACTTTGACATTTATAGTCTTAGGGGCGTCCCTCTTCGGCCTTAAGTGAAAGGAAGGTATGGGCGCTAAACCAGTCGCTTTCCTCCAGCCCTTGTGCCTTCCCTTTATGTTCCTGATCCTCTTCTCTCTCAACCATCTTCGTTTCCCGGCTTTCGTCAGCCGTCTAGCACCTTTTCCTTTACGGTTTATGACAAGTATGTCATCTCTTTCCTGCTCTAAGAACCTCTCCGTTAACAAAAGTCGAAAATTATTCACAACAACCAGCGAAGTGCCGTAGAGGACTGGAAATAAAATAGTTTTATATATGTTATATATAAATATNATATATATAATTGTTATTGCTTGTGGCAAAAATAATTAATTAAAAATTTACGAACATATTGTTTAGGGTTTCTACTTACTACCCGAGAACTTGCACAAATTATTTCAATACATTATTTTTTTATTTTGGAAGCAAAGTTACTTTATTTTCGGAAACTTCCTACACTCGAAAAACAAGAGGAAACCACATTAATACAGAGTTCGGTGCAAAACTATACAATTCAAGGGTAAAAATACGCCCTGGCTTTATAAACAATTGCTTTATTTTGTACGAAATTTAATAAATAAATAAATGTATACAGTTAAACAAACAAAAATAGCAAAGTTAAGAAATATGTAACAAGAAAAACAAAAACAATAAATTATTGCAGTTCGGGCACTGCATACAATCCTCTGTCTGATGCAAGTTAAGGCGAGATGATGCTCCCAAGTCCCAACTATATCTTTCGCCCAATAATAGTCCAATGGGTCTTCTTTAAGTGGCCACTTTCACATCTGATGTTTTTAGTCAAGGTTGAAATGAGTGCTTTTTCATCATCTAAAGTTATAACTTTGCCGAGGTACAGTTCTCCTTCATAGCGCACCTCGCAAAATTTCCCAACCTCCTTTTGAATCGTTGAGAACTTTCATCTCTCCTTTTTCAAACATTTCAGCTTTCGTTTCTTGAGATTCAGATTCATCCATCTCCCGCAATTGGCTAACAATATTATCATTGATCAATCGCTACCACACAATTTATCAGTATTCTTTAGTTTAGGGCCGCTCGCATCCTGGTACATATGGTGTACATTAGGTGATGTTATGCTTTCACCGGCTGGAATTTCTTTCCCCGTGTAGTCTTATTCCTTTCAGTCCATTCGGCTCGTTTTTTTATTAAACTGGAAGTAAAATTATTTGGGAGTATTTCTCTTGACGAACTGCTTTTAGCAAGGTCATCTGCCCCTGGGATCCGTTTTATTTTATGTTGCATGGCTGAAGCCCGATATTACATTTTCTTTGATGCAAAGTTCAATTAACACTAATAATTTTTTAAGAAGAGTGGGATGTCATCCTTTCTAAGGGTTTGGTATATATTATTTTGTTTCCACTCGCACAAATCTTTACGCTAGTATGCCGTAACTCCCCTGATAAAACACAACTAAAGGCTGGGTTAAATGTGTGCTGCTATTGGGAAGTAAACAAATAGATGTTGCTGGCCTAAAAGACGTAAAGTGAGGTTGTCACAAACGAAAGTTTTCTCCCATGTGAAAGAAAGAGGGATTTGAACCAATCATGGAATACACTGGACTCAAACACCCACTTAGATTGTTGTTGTAATGTGTATCCATATCGACCACATTTTTTGGGATTTAAGTAGGACATATAAAGCGAGCGATGTCCCAGAATCTGACCCCGTAAACATGATTTATGTCCCACTTTTGGAAGTCTAAGTTGTATATGCTGATAGGGGAACGCCTTACAAGTCCACAGCAAGATTGACCACATAGCTTCGTAGACCATGGTTTGTTAGAGCAGCTCTGTTCGTTTAATATTTGAAACATATCTTCTTGACAGTTCTCTGTAGAAAGCATTTTACCCAATACCGCTCTGTAATATTATTGTTGAACTTCGTAACATTAAGTTCAATTTGGACAAGGTATTTATCAATTATCATTTCCAGATCTAGTACAGGAAAACCGTATTTCGTCATACTTGCAATGCACCAGTTAGATTTCTCTTTTTCATCTGAGGAAAACACTAGGATGTACCTGGTTTTTTAGGTATTTTTTACCCGTTTATTAATTATCATGCGTATGGGGATTTTGAAAGTTAGTGAAATTTGCCACTGGGCCATCGTGCAAGGTTTGATGCCTTCAAAGTACAAAGTAAAGTTGTTTAGAGGATTTTTCTTTACTTCTATTATTTATTTAGCCTAAAAAAGTTTCTTTTTTGCCTTTTGCTACAATCGGAACTATTTTCAATACTATACCTATTATGAATTCTGGTCTCGATATAAAACTATCTATATTCTTATAAAGCATAAGTTTTAATTTTAGGTTCCAGACAATCCGAACCTGAAGGCCCTTTTAGTGTCTTTGTTTGCATACCGATACACACAAATTGCTATTCTACATGTTTGTTTTAGTTAGAGATTACCCTCTGAAAACAACCAATGACGACTGTAAATTAAGCGAAAATTTAATCGTCACTGAATTTTTGTATATAAAACATTTCACAATAAATTATCCCTAGAATCTTTTCCCAATCTTTAATGATTGTTTAACCGTTTGTAAAATATGTGGTATTTAGTGACGGTTAGTTAATGATAATTTGGGAGTATTTCTCTTGACGAACTGCTTTTAGCAAGGTCATCTGCCCCTGGGATCCGTTTTATTTTATGTTGCATGGCTGAAGCCCGATATTACATTTTCTTTGATGCAAAGTTCAATTAACACTAATAATTTTTAGTTAATGTTAGTTAGTTAAGGTTAGTTAATGATTATTCGGAGATCGTGAGATGCAGTCTGGTGTGACGTAGGTTTTAGAAAAATATTTTCTTTATCGTGCCAACGTTTCGATCTTTATTGAGATCATCTTCAGGGCTCAAAGTGTTTGTTTTCCGTGTAGATGTGTTGAGAGTAGCTTGTACTTTGTAAAATGTAGATGACCAACCCAAGCCCTAAGCAGACACGGGCATATTTACACAGTTTGGCATTGTGACCGTTTCCTTACGTACTTCATAATTAGCCTTTTTTGTTTAATTTAAATTAAGGTCAGTTTCTTTTGTCGTTGTTTACTTTCCAAATGGTAATCATACAATTATCATCGGAATTATAAATACACTATATAATCGGTTTAAGATATACATGTAATATTATTAATGAGCATATTGTCAAATAAACTCCCTGGTGGTAGGGTGTATTTTCACCAAGAAAATACACACACATTTTGATAAGGATAAATTATTTCATAATCCCTTATCTTTGAGGTGTTTAAAGCGGTAAAAATATAACAAAAGAATGACAATGAAATTTATGTTTCGTATTTGCAATTTGACCTATTCATTGCTATGAAAAATATAAAACATTACTGGTTTACTGTAAAATCTTTTATTTTTTTACTGTACATACGTGTTCTGCACATAATTTTTAAATGAACACATTTCTAACTTAAATACATTAATCCAACTGACCTTTCTGCTAATATTAACAAAAAATTGTGAATTTTTCCCCCTCCCGATGTAAATAATACCGGAAATGGGTAAAATACAGCGGATTCGAAAGAAAAAGCGATTTTTTTTAGATTGCTTCTTGAGGTTATATAGAAAGCCAATGTCCATTTGTTTAAATTATTATGTGACGTACGAGCGCGATGAATTACTTCCTGAAGAAGCGAAGTGAACTCTGTTTCGTGGCGTGCTTCTGCTCGATGTGCTGGAGAGAGTCCTGCTGGAAGCTGCGCTTTTTTGCTTTTTAAGTTCAGACTCGTATATAATCGGGATTGAAGACGGCTTCTTTGCGTTCATATCCATTGACGGTAATCTTATTTTCAAAGGTCTTTCAAACGCTAAGTTTTTCGGTGGGTAGTGTTTGATATATTGTTGTTTGGGTGGTTCGGGTGGCGGGGGGGAGTAAGTCATCTGCGGTATTGGATGGTACATCGGCATAGAGACGAATGGCATTACAATCGGAGTCATGGACGGTACGGGTTGTGCAGAAGGATGCCACATCTGTTGCTGAGCTAACTGCTGTTGATGCGCCATTTGTTGTTGATGAGCCATTTGTTGCTGTTGTTGTTGTCGTTGTTGGTTATACGCCATTTGCTGTTGTTGATGGTGTGCCATTTGTTGTTGTTGATGGTGTGCCATTTGTTGTTGTTGATGGTGAGCCATTTGTTGTTGTTGATTGGGGTACATTTGCTGTTGTGGATAAACTTTCGAGTTTCTTTGATTTAACGGCTGACTTAAAGAACGCCTTTGAGACGGATTTTTCAAATTGGATTTAAGGCTTGGAACATTACCCCCGTAGGAATGTTGGTCATAGTCGCTTGCTTCTTCGTGGCCTTCTTCTGCATTTCTTTTCTCCTCCCGCATTTGAAGATACTTTGAATTAACACTCACTATAATGGTTAAACATAAAACTGAAAAAATAAACAGCAATATGTGATATTTCTGTAACTTTTGTTCTCCTAATTGTATTTATTTAATACACCCAAGCAAACATTACTTAATAAACTTTCAGTTATTTACAAAAAAGGTTCATATAACAATAATAATAAGATATACGTATCCAAAATTATAGGAATGTTTAAGTAAGCAACTCGTTTTTTAATTAACCTTTGATGGCTCATAAATACCCTTTCCAAATTTTTTCTTTTTTTTCTTTTCATCATTGTTACTAATTCCAGCGCTGCACCAGAGGGACACGTGCCATAAGAAACCAGCCTGTGCTGGCACAATATGAGGGATTAAGGGGCAAGGATGTATCGAGGACATCGTCGATTAAGGCGACGTTTGCGGGTTCTCCGGATGGGAATATGTAGAGAGGGCTCGAACATTAGGACTAGGATGGATCGAGAAGTTGGTGTGAAACTTTTGGAAACGGTTACGGATCAGTAGAACAAAGGAATGTTACGATCATTGTGGATAGTGAGGTTAGTGACATAGTAAGAGCTTTGACGCTTTGACTAAGGACTTTGGATTGAAAGGATGCGTTGGATGTTGGTTGGTTTCAAAGAACCCCACAACTCCACTCCGTATGTTCAAAGTGGGCGCAGTAAAGTCCTGTAAGATTATTTAACGATCATGAGATGTGATGTAAGTTTAAAAAAATATTCTTTTTATTGTGCCAACATTTCGATCTCTATTGAGATCATCTTCAGGACTGGAATATATAAACATTGTTTAAATTATAGAAATACATATAAGATATGAATATGAATTCATAGAATGATGTAATCAAAATATTTGTGTACTACGATTAATCCTAAAAATTCTATATTGTTTTACATCATTGTATAAATTCCTATCCATATCTTATATTTATTTGTATAATTAAAATATGTTTATAATTCCCAGGCCCTGAAGATGATGTTAATAAAGATCGAAACGTTGGCACAATAAAGAATTGTTTTTCTAACCTACATCACACTAGAGCCCCTCTCATGATCTTTAAATAATCATTAATTAACCATCACTCAATATTACACACGTCTTGCATAAGATTAGTTTAGTTATGATGATCAAGAGAGATTTCGGTCCTAATTGTAGTTTAGAGAAGAAAGAAGTACATAATTTCGTAACAAATATAATGAAATGTCGATGCCCTAATTAAGATACTCCTTTCATTTTTACTCAATGTATTAAATGTAATAAAAGAACAATATTTTCGGTTAAAGTGTTAGAAAACTGGCTGAAAGGCTTGACGATAGTTATCCAAATAAATAATCAAAATAAAATTACATTTAGGCCAATAACCGAAAAATGCCAATCGTATAAACATTTAAATTTTTCCACAGATTTAAGTGATAACTATTACAAAATACAAGTACATAAATATTGTAAAAAATACAAAAATTAATACAAAATATGTTAATAATTGATCTGGATTATAAAAATTCAAAGTAGTATGTTAAAATGTAATCCCTTATAACGCTACATGTCCTATTTGTAATGCCGAAGAAAGAGAGGATCTACACCATTTCATTGGCGATGTACATTTCTTGCTAATCTATATTAATTGCTAGGAATGAAATGGTTTAAAAAATTGCTAGAAAGGACTGAAGCGTAGTTGTGACTATATAACTGGCAAAAATTGGAATGATAAACTGTACCAAAGTAATTTATCAGGTTAGAAGTTAGAAGCAGATCATAAAGGTCTCTCATTATATTTAAAACTTGTATATTATTTATTGTAATGCATTGTTTTGTACAAATTTGTAAAATTAAAAATCTCAAGAATAACAATGTTAATCTGTTTGTTTTTTACTATCATTGACTTTTTCGTATGGCGTTCACCTATTCTTTATTCTTGCTGTACAATGATTTTATTTTTTTATTTATTAATTTTTTTTTTTGCATCTGCAAAATACCTTGGCGAGAGTGACTTGAATAAGGGCCATTCAACATGACTAATTAATTCGTTATATTTGAAAGGATTTAGATTTACAGATAGTTGGGCGTGGGTTCGGATGTATCAGGCTTGAACTAAATCTTAGATAAATGGTATTTATAGGCCGAATGTAAGATATGGTTAAAGCGTTAAAGACGTAGAAGGGAGCTTCAACGTGGATACGAAGGGTTCGGAAATGGAGAGTTTGTATTCGGCTTTGGTAGAACGCCGGCCGTACCGTACAAAAAAAGTTCATACATCCATTAAGTGCTGATGTAGTGACGATGTTCTATGTTTTTTCCTCCTGAACGCCTGTCAGGTAATATTCTGTACTTCAAGTTTAGTTCCGCTCGTTTAAGTCATGTGTTGGAATACGCAGTTGCATCCGAAAGGGGCACGAACTGAGGCATTTTGCGCATCCCCTGTTCTCGGTAAACTCTTCGGCGCCTGCTTTCGCTATAAAGGCAGATACGCGACTCATCAGTAAACATAACACCATTCCAATTGATGTTCTTTTCTAGACGCTCGCTGAACCATGTTCTTCTGAGTTTCTGATGGTGGGCTGTTGCTGCAGGTTGTATCAAACGGCCAACGTTTGGTCTTTGCCAAAATATCTTGTTATTTAGGAAATGAAGGAAGCGTACTAACATAGGAAAGCGCACTATGGAAAGGATTCTTTCTAGCAGCAATGACAATATTTCTGTCCTTCGGAGTGTAAGCTCACGTTTTCTATCTAATTGGTTGTGTTTTGATTTGTTGCTAAAGAGATTTGAACATTTGATCAACAAACGAGAGAAACACATTAGCATTGGTAGTCCTACTCTATCGCACTTAAAGCTAAAATCCATTGGTAGAAATATGCTTGATATCGAGACAGGTATAGGTGTGTTGTCTCCCCCCACCAGTGTGTTCCTATCCTTGGATTTGCTCATAGAACCCCACATTTAGAAGTAACCACAAAATAATAAGCACGACCAGCAGATGGCCCTCAGAGAACGAGCAGAAGACGACGGATCGTCCTCACACGATTGAGGATTGGCTATACGCGGTTGACTTTTGGGTCAAAGCCCGCGCAGGTGCCCCTTATGCAGAGAAAGGATGCTCCATGTGTCCCGCATAATAGAGCGTGTAGGCTTGCCGCCGGATTTAAGAATGATTCTCGGACACGGTAGCGAGTTTCAGATTCCCCGATTCCGATTTTTATGGGAATTGGATATTTTTTATTGTACATAGCCGTCAAAATATGTGTTTTGGGTTCCTGTGTTTTGTATTGGGTTGTCCGGAAAATAATGCAGGATTTTGGTATTAAACAAAAAAAAAGAAACTAGTTACTTTAAAGCAATGTTCTTTAATCAAAATAATTTCCCATACTCTCAATACATTTCTCCCAACGTGTTGGTAACTTATTAATTCCGTCTGAGTAGAATTCAGAATTTTTAGAATTGATAAAGTCAATAAATGCATTTTCCAGTTCCGTTTGATTTTTGAATATTATGTGTTCTAAGTAGTGGTCCAGGTGTCTAAAAAAATGGTAGTCAGTAGGCGAGAGGTCCGGAGAGTAGGGTGGGTGAGGCAAAGTTTCATAGCCAAGCTCCAATAATTTTTGTGACGTTACACGTGACACATGTGGTCGAGCGTTGTCATGCAACAAAATGGGCCCTTTCCGATTGACCAAAGAGGGCTTCATTACTGCCAATTTCTGATGCATGGTATTAATTTGGTTACAGTATGATTCAGCATTGATGGTTTCGCCAGGATTTAAGAAGCTGTAGTGTATTAAACCAAATGAAGCCCACCATACCGTAACCATTACCTTTTTTTGATGAGTTGGGGGCTTTGGAAAATGTATTGGAGCTTCTCCTTTGTCGAGCCACTGTCCAGAACGTCTAGTGTTATCGTAGAGAATCCACTTTTCGTCACATGTAACAATTCTGGCCAGAAATGGGTCATTTTTGTTTCGACAAAGAAGTGATGCACAAACATCAAAGCGCTGATTTTTTTGGCGATCGTTTAATGAGTGTGGAACCCAATTTTCGAGTTTTTTCACTTTTCCAATCGCCTTGAGGTGGTCAGCGACGGTCGTTTTACTGACTTTGAGTTGCTCTGCACCCACCACTGATCGCAGAACATCATCATTAAGAGAGGAAGGCCTTCCACGACCTTCTTCATCTTCAAGGCTGAAATCTCCCTCCCGAAATTTTTTAAACCACCTTTGCACAGTGCACTCATTAACACAACCCTCGCCCCAGACTTGGTTAATGTTTCTAGCCGTTTGGGCTCCGCTTCGGCCGAGTTTAAACTCGTAAAAGAAAATCGTACGAAATTCTCGCTTTGACATTATAAGGATGACTGAATTATTTCCAAGTAGCGGAATGCTACAGAGGTAAACAAACAATATCATTTGGAAGAGGATTAATAAGTGTTGACATTCATACAAATGAGTAATCCTGTAAACGTAAACAGAATATTTTATATAGATTTTTTTTAATGAAAACTTAAAATCCTGCATTATTTTCCGGACAACCCAATATAATTGGGTGCATTTATTACAGTTAATGGGGTGAAATGGCATCCCCATCGCCCATCGACCTGTGTACCTGACTTTGGTCGATGTTTTTTTTTTTTTTTTTTTACGAGGGTTCGCAACAACAGAGGTCATATAAACCCTCAGGGTGCCGGCCGTTTTGAAAAAAAGCCCATTGGTATGTCGGGTTCGAATTGCAGGGCCGCTGGATTCGAACCCGGGACCTTTACCATTGCATACCTACTTACTATTAATATATATTCTTAATGAATATTTCTTTCTTTTTACTGGCAGACAGCATCATTAGCCATTTTATTTTGTATAATATTCAATTTGTATGCATTGTAATGAGTTGTTTACATACAAAATTAATTACAATTACATTAACATTTATTCCTGTTTAAATTAGCCTATACTGTCAGAGTTGGGTTTATGTATAATAAAAATGTCTATAATATTTGTTAGTTGTGATCAATTATCGTAGCGCTTAAGAAGAAATACACAAT